TCTGACTATTTTCCAGCTTCCCTCTACTTGGCGGTTGAAGGCCAGTGGTTTGGGGTGTTCCAGGCTAGCTTCCTCTACCAGATCCAGGGGTTCAAGTCCAAATCCAAATCAATCCCAACCTGAATTTAGGCCCACCTGAAGTTCACTTATGCCAAGTCAGGTGCCCGTGTGGCCAAGCCGTCCCCTGACGAACCTTCAGCTACCCGGGTTCTGATTGTGGCTCAAGTGACCTGGGAAAACTAACACATTCCGTTGGTTGGGCTTTCCACTAGAGAAGTCTACTGGAATGCCTGGCAGGACTCCAACAATCAGCCCACTGGCTGGCGTTGAAAACAACCAAATGACCGCGACATTCTCAAACACGACGACGATCCTCAAATTGGCAGCCAAGCGACGATTCAACTGGCTAACATACTCAACATGTTGAACAGGGAGTCTGAAACCAAACCCAAAACAACATCCAAACCATTGGGCCGCGGAAAAAACAACTCATAACATGTGTGTTGTTGGTCACACCCGTCCTGGTCAAACCCATATGTTGATCATGGTCATGGTGCTATTTGCAGACGCAGCTTTGTCTCCTTTCTGAGTGAACTGGCGAACCAAGATAACCATGCCTACCACGGTCCAAACCAAACAGTGCTTGGTTGATGCTGACAGCCTCTGAAAAACTTCAGCCTTTTGTGGGTTCAATGGAACATCCACTGTTTCCCAAAAAGCTAGTCCAGAAACTCGGGAAGTGAGTTAACGAGACAAACCAAAGGTATCTAGGCTATATGCACGGTGGTTTAGCACTTGGCTGCTTCAGCATGCCCAACCCTGCGCCGCCCAACAAAACAAACGAGTCACAATCAAAACCCGGTAGTACAATGGTCTACCCACAACCATGTAAGGAATTAAGAAGGCGGCCGCAACTATTTCTGGCTGGGACTGCTCCTTTCAAACCTTCATCTACCCGGGTTTTGATTGTGGCTCAAATCTCGAGGCCGGCACAAAGCCCACGGCTTCATCACTACAGAGCATGGCGCGCGGCAAGTGGCAAACAAACACCCACCAAATGTTGACACCGGATCGAATAGGTGGGCTAGGTCCTCCAGTAGAGAGGTATCCTTTTTTCTGTAGTCTATTTTAGTAGGGGAACCCTCCCAACCAAAAAAGAAACGGTAAACGGGCACTACTGGGGGACCTAGTGGGCGTTCCCTCCAAAAGTAATGAACCTCCAGTAAACGGGACGCACCCCTAAGCCAACCATTGGAACGGGATCTAAGGATCGCCCACATATCCTTCCTGGAAAGGGCTGTTGTGTTGGTTGGAGGTTTCCATTTTTTTCAGCGGGAAAGCTATCAGACAAAAGGGAAGCCACGTGGAGGAATGTCCAACCAGGTGGCCCGGAAAAAGATCACCCAGTTTTAAACAAGCATCTAAAATGGGTATATATGTCAAGCTTAAACCACCAGGGGACCGCGGGAGGGTTCCATGTTGGGCTTACCCTCTTTTTGACGCACAAATCACATGTTCCCTCAGCTCAAAAAAAAAATACTGTTCGCTCTCAGGCCCAATTTGAGCTCAAGAAGACCAAACCCCAAACCCCAAAGCGCAGAAGCTCACGCAACCTTGGCTTGATGTAAATTTACCTTCATCTTCTAACTGCTTCTTCGCCCCCTGGAAAAAAAAAAAAAAACATATTTCCAGTAGTGACAGATTCCCTTTAAATCCGGCAAGGCAAAATACAACCTGTTCTTCAGCGAATGGTTGTCATATGACTCATCCTGGCCCCGATTTCCTCAGTTTATGAGGCCAGGTAAGCTGAACCCCGTAGCCGTGTCGACATGTGCTAAGCTCGAGCCAGCTGAAGATTGGCCTAAAGAAGCTCTGAAAGCTTCCTGGACCCTCATAATTCACTTAAAAAACGGGTTATAGCCCCAAACTGGGCTGTCCGTTTTCAGATCCCCCGCTGAAAGTTCAAATTCTAGTGGGTGAAATGGAAAACCCCACTGAACACTAAAAGGCTTAAAAACCAAGGGGATGGCTGAGAACCACCAAGAAACATATGCGGTGAAGTCCACTAAAAAGAAGGTCCAGGTTGTTATTTCTTCCGAGAAAAACAAAAAACAGCATGTCCAACTCGAAAAGTGGTCTCTAGGGGGTCCCAAAGCGGCATGGGGACAAAAAAACACGCAACTCGAGACATCAGCGGCGGCCAAAAACAAAAAGGATGCTTGTGGCTGGGCCACGTCGACCCAAAAAAGGTCTGAACATGTTTATTACCACCAAGGCCTGACCAACATGATTCATCCAGGAACTGAGGGAGCAAAAAATGGCCCAGGGTCTGATTGAACCAACTCTTGCCCAGCCCTCTCGGCCCCTTTTCGCATGCCGTGCTCGAGAGGCTCATTGAGGGCCTCTGCCATGCCAAGCGCGAAATACCGCACATAGGGGCCGCATGTCGGGAACATTCATCCGAACTTCGTGTTCGATTTGCGTCAAGGCCTCACCTCCTGAGTGGATTGGCCAAAGGCAACCATACTTTTGTCCACCAGAAAGTGGTCCGCCAGCAGTATAAAGGATGGAAGTCAGCACATCTCACGGTGAGGGCTTGCTGTTTTTGCGTCTTGGACGCAAAGTGAATTATTCAACGTCCACGAATTGAAACATAGCAAAAGGGCAAGCGCCGGGGGGGTGCTCACCTGGCCAGTTGAGCTATTTGGACTAGAATTTCGTCCTCTGCTCATCTGCAAATTCTAATGATTGCGACACCCTACACCTAGGGAACATGAAACAAAGGACATATTTCTACCCCCGCACCTCGCAACGCAAAAGGCAAAGTCCTTGAGTCCATGTGAAGGGCCATTTTTGTTTAAAGGGGAAGCAACAAAATTTGGGAAGCGGAGGCACGTGGTATCTACTGTCACAGGAAGAAGTTGGCCTGGAGAGGTTGGCAGCTTATGCTCACCCCCGGGCAAAATTTGCATTCGTGTGACCGCGGAAACCACAGCTGGGGGCTTGCGAAGCCTAAGCCCCGTTTCGGCCAAAGACTCGGTCCCTTTGTTGCTCCCCCATGGGCTTCCTTAGACTCACATTCAAACACCACCTGCTTTCAAGGAGGTCTTAACCATGGCATTCTGTAAAGATGTTTGAATGACCCAATGTAGCCTTTGGGTCAGGGTAAGCTCCACTATTCGAAATGCCCCAAGCATCCCCCCCAAAGAAGAACACGTTTTAGAACGGCAATCAAAGGCCATGGGGCGCCATGTTTCAAATGCCACAGAGGACAATCGGTATCACACATATCCAGGCAGCACCCCAGAAAGGCCCGAACTTGGCCCAGTGGCGCCCTTTCAGCTTACATGCAAAAACAGCTCGACCAAAACCATCCATTTCACATACAACAAAAACCCAACAATGATGTCCACTATCCCCGAACCACTCTCCCCCACCAACCCTGGGTACAAATACTTCTCTGCAGCTATGTATTCCCGCTTTTTTTCTTCCCAAGCCTCGAAAAATCGGCCCCAGTTGTGCCAACCGCTGAATCCGTGACCCAAGTGACCCAGAAAAGCTCATAGCTGGGGCAGCTGAAACGGGGAAAGGCCCGCCAACCTGAAGGACTCATGTGCCATGGCTGGGGGGCCGGGCCCAAGTGACCCAGCTGGCCAGTTTCGGCCCGTCCGCTGGCAGCTTTGGCCGGGTATGTTTTTTTTTCTAGGGGGGGCGCCCGTGTTGCTCGAAGCTTGGTCGGTTTCTACCCAAATCATCTTCCTCAAAGCATAATCGGTTCCGTTCGAAGCTTTCTGGTTACGAAGAAAGGCAACCGATTTGGTCTAGTCCAGGGGTTAGAAGCCATCCCCATTTTGGATTGCGCATGCTGGGATGCAAACCCTTTAAGCATGCGGACTCCGAGTCGGAAGTCGGGAGGATGGTCAAGGATAGGCTGGTTTTGCCCTCTGAATAGACTTCTTTCTGGAGTGCCCGGAAGCCACGGGGAGAACATCAAGGCACAGCGGTCCTGCCGCGGAAAAAGGATATGCTGAACAGCTACTGTGGATGGACGAAATCCATTTCGAACCACCCAAGAAACCCTAGAATGATGATTCCCCAACGTAAATACCAACAAATGTTTTGGTTTCAACCATGGTTTCCAAGTGGTGCGAAGTGGATTTCGTCCATCCATGGGAAGCAAACCCAAGGTCTCTTGGCTGGTAACATGCTAGGCCCTAGGCCCTAGCTTTAGATGTTTGGCGCCCCCCAAAACGCCCGCCCGAAAGGCTTCCATTTGCTCAAGCCTGATGGAACAAACAAAACATAGGTCCAGCCTGTCCAGTAGGGCAGGGAAGTAACGCCAAAGGCAGTAAGCAAATGGAATGCAAGCAATGGAAGTATAAAGAAACAAATTCTTGTAAGCAAATGGAAGCAAAGGCTCAGACTTAAATCCGGCTAGAGGCAACCAGTCCAGAAAACGGTGACCAAAACGGCTCGATCGCTTTTTCGAGCGCAAAGGGGATGCCCTTAAGCTTCTTTGCGCCGACTCCTGGAAATGACCCCAGTCATTGTATGGTGATGGACCATGGACTAGGTCCTCCAGTACAGAGGTTAGAATAAGGGTACCCGTTTTTCTGTAGTCTATTGTAATAGGGGGGTTTCCTCCCCCCCCAACAAAAAGGTAAAAGGGCACTACTCAAACAAGTGCAAAATAAAATAAACAAAAATCAGTAGTCATAGGTTCCCTTTAAAACGAACAGGGGAACATTAAAAAAACAAATCTTAAGCAAATGGAAGAGTCCCGTGGCTAAATAAAGGGCCTTGGTTGTTATGGGTGCCACGGTGAAACTCGCTCAAGTTTCTGTGAAAAAACAGCCAGACAAGCGAGGGGGGCAATGTTTGCCACTCAAAACGCTACCATCGCCCCAAAGCAACTTGTTTCTAGGTCCTCCAGAGAGGTTAGAATGCGGGTACCAACTTTTTCTGTAGTATTTTAGTAGGGTTCCTCCCCAAAAAAGAAACGGTAACAGGTGCCCTGGGGGACCGACTCGTTGGAACTCCTGAGTCGACTGCTCGAACGTTCGAGCGGCTCATTCCGAGGTTTTGCTGCTGCCCATGGAGGGCCCGCTGCTTCCTGCGGTTGCCGCGCGCAAATTGACGAGTCTCCATGACCCATATGGGCATGGGTCGGAAAATCCCGGGGTTTCAGTGAATAACCAATCCAACCACTTAAATAGGGAGCCTAAAATGGGTGGTGAATTCACCTACCAAAATGGACTCCCATTGGTTTTGACAACCACAGCCATATAGAAATGACCCAAAAGAAAGGGGCCGAGTGTTCTCTGGGTGCTAAACAAATTGGTATGGTTGCCTCTAAAAGGCAAAGCAACGAGGAAATCGCCTGGGGTCGGCCTGAGCCTGGAATCTTCCACTCCGACTTGCAGATTAAAATGGAACCCCTAAACCTACCTGTACCCCCACAACTCCCTGAAAAATGGGTTGTAGCCCCAAAAATATGGGGCGAATTCCTGTTTGCTTTTATGTAGGTTGAGGGGCCAGGTATCCTATGTGTAGAGAAAATTGTGCGAATCGGGAAGGAAGGCAAGCAACAACCGCTTTTTAGGCGGACAGCTAAATAAAACTGGCGGAATCAAGGCTACCTCGCCTGTTTCAACCCCTGCCATTCAATCACCTAAAGGACCTGGAAGTAGAGGTTCACCTTTTGGGGCCGCGACAAGGATGGACCATAGCTAGGCTGTCCTCAGATCCCCCGCTAACAAAACATAACTTTTAGTGGGTTAAATGCAAATCCAACCACTAAACACTAAAAGGCTAAGAAGCTACGGAACCGGATGGCTGGGAGCCATCAAGATAGGACAAAGGTCAAAAGGTCGACTTTGGGCAACTGAGACATCCAATTTCTACCGAGTTACAGTGGAAGCCCAAGAGCAAAATCGGGTTTGTCTGAAAATAGTGGACCCCCACAAGCACAGTTGCTCTTGGTTTCGCTTTGAAGCAACCCGAAAAGGGTACCTCAGGAAACGACGCCCCCGGCCAACTTGATTACATACCAAATGGACATACCCCACCTATAGGCCTGATATAAGGATAGTGGACCTCCAAGGTCCAATCGAAGCCTTGCTTTGGACAACTGAGATTCCGGCCAACTTAGGGCTATGCTCGAGATTCAACTGAGGTGAGATTCAAAGCTTCGATTGGACTTTCGCAGCTTTTCGCAAAAGGCTCACTTGGCTGAGGGACCTGGTGATCACCTGAAAAGGAACCTTGATCCTAGGGTTCCCAAGGCCCCCGTTAAAAGAAAGGCCTTGGGACCCAGTTTGGAGGATGACAACCCTTAGGTAAAGAATGGTGGTTGTATCATCCCCGAGTGTCTGAACGGTGGATTGAACCCCAGGGCTGACATTGACTATGGACCAAATCAGGGAAACCAAAAGCTATTGTCGATTCGTTCTGCACGTGAGCAGTGGAACAGAATCTGTGGAAAGTGTCCAAATGGGAGCCTGTACCAAGTGGAAGCTCAGGCATATGAGCGCGCGTTCCCATTCCGCTGGAAAAAGAAGGAACTGACCCTATTTGGAAGGTTCGTCCGCTTTTTTATTTTTCTGGAGAGCCTACCAAATAAAACATGAAGAAAAAGACATGGTGCCACTGAGAAACTGCCCCGACAGCTGTTTTGAGAACCCCTAAAGTTGTTTTAAGCCAAGTTGGGGCGTGTGAGCCCACTCGGGTGCTACACAACTAAGTCAGCAGTAAAGGCAAAAACAGAGGTCCAAACAAACCCCAAAACACGGGTTACCCGTAGAAACGCCTACCCCCCAAAAAAAACACAACAACAGGCACGCGGCAGATTCACATCGCGAATCCACGCGCCTTCGGAGGTGCTGCCCTCTCGCCGGCGCTTGGTTTGAGACTTGACCATTTTGGCCAGCCGCTTCTCCTTGGAACAAAAAAACTCCAAACCCAGCCAGGGTCTCGGGGTCTAGGGTTTTAGCTGGCAGGGAGGGAAAGGCACAACCTGAGTTGATGTTCTCCCCCATTTTGGGGGCAGACCAAATGGGGGGGGGGGGGTTTATATGGGCTCCACAAGCCGTGTTGCCAAGACCCAAAGTCCAACCCAAACCCCCCAGTGGTCGGTGTTTGTGTGGGTGGTTTGGAGCCCGGTGGTTTGGTCAATTCCTTTTCAAACCAATCCAAACCACTTAGGGGAAGCCTGAATTTGGTCCTGAAACATGGGGAAGAACATCAACTGAGCTTCTTTCTTTCCTTCCCTGCCGTCCCTGAAGGGTACCCGGAAACAAAGGTTTTTCAAAATGGGAACCCAACATTGGAAGACCAACAGCTGAAAAGGCCGAGTCGCTTTGAACAACTGAGTCTTTCCAACCCAAACGCTATGGCCTGGAAAGCAACTGACGGTGTTTTTCTTGCAGCCCACTACATATGAGAGAACCAACAACCTAAACATCTAAAACATATCCCAACAGTGAAGAACTTGCCCTGCCGTTGTAGCAACCTCAGCGAAACTGGAAACCACCCTTGGGGATACAAAGAGGAGTCCCTCTCTCCTTGGAGCTTGCCCGGCCTTCAGATTCAAGTTCGAACCTGTGTTTGCTCGTTTATGAGGTGAAATCCAACTTCTTAAGAGTAGCCCCAGGGTCCTTGGACCAAGGGTCACCAAAATTGCCACTCTTGGAGGTCCAAAAAAAGGGACACTGAAGGATCCCTGTTGGAATTTTTCCGCTTCAGCCCGCCTCAAACACAACCTTCAATGGGAAAACTGAAATGGTCAAAGGCTTCGAAATAAGACTCAGTTGCCCAAAGGACAAAGAAAAGGGCTCACAAATCAGGGAGGTGCAAAGGTCGACTTTGTGGCAAGTGGCCAGTGATGGGGTTTTGGGGGAATAAGACTGCCCCGGTAGACTTGGACACCCTTCTCGCTTGACTTTACAGGGATCCTTACATTATACACCTGAACATTTGCCTTGCAAATGGTGGTTTCCCTTTCTTTCTGGGGGAAAAACATGTTTCAAATGGGCAATGTATCTTTCAAGGAGCCCTGCTTTGTCAGTGTACATGTTTGGCATGTTCAGCTGGGGCTCCCTCTAATTTGCGGCAGGCGGCTTCCCACTTGCCTACAAGAACCAGCGGGTCTACCCCCCGAACCAACCCCACCTAGAAGTAAAGGGTTAACCTTTTGGAGACCAAAGGGGGAACCCAAAAGGTCAAAAGCCCGGCTTTGGGCAACCAAGCACATGGGTTACTTGACAGCTACTGCTGAACCAAAGCCGCATCTGGGTGCACAGGTTTCGCTTCGCCCGATTTTCCGAGCGCGGGGAAAGGCCCCAGTTCAGAGGCCACCAGATGAAGACATGTCACGGTCACTCACGGCTCTGTTGGTACCCTCCCAAAAACTCACTTGCCCAGTTTGGACCTGGAAATAAAAGGTGATCACCTTTTGGCACCTCTACTAAAAATGGGAACCCCAAATGGGAAAGCCAAAAGGTCAGATCCGGTCGATTCGCTTTGGGCAAGTGAGAAAACAAACATCGAAGCTTCACAGGGCTTCCTGGAAGAGCAGGTTCCTTTTAAGACAAACCGGGTCCTGTGCAGCTTCCCTCTGTTTGCTTTGGGGAGGCTTGATTTTATCGGGAAACCCCCAAAAACAAAAACGTCCGGACCCACTGGAGGTCGGGAAGAATAGTCGCCTAAGCAAACAGTTGCTGCCCAAAGGCTTGGGGCTGACCAAAGAGAAACCAACAGATACTCAGACTAGGGGTACCTTCCATGTCCATTCTTTCCAGGGATCCGAATCTTTTCAGGAAACCATCAAAACTTCAGGGGAAACGGCTGGTTGTTGAAAGAACGATGGTTGAAAAGAATGGGGAATCAACCCCTAGAAGATTTGCATCAGTCCCTTTAACAAAACATATTTACACTAGAGATAGTGACTCGCTTTAGAACTGTCAGATGGACGGGTATAAAAGTTGGTTTTCTGGCTGACATTCCTATGCGGGATCATTCGAATGGTGTCGGAGGTTGTTTGCAGGCGCTCAGTCATGGACCTTTTGAGGGGTTCAGGTGGACAGAATGCATTTGGCCCGACTTTGAAACCATAGCTGAAACCATAACGTTTATTGGTATTTACGTTGGGGAATCATCAGAAGCTGGGGTTTCTCAAAGGCGGTAATTACGAGAAGCGGATTTCGCAACCATCTAGAGTATGACGATGACCAATATGGATCTGTCTTTTGAGGATATGAGGAGGACCAATTCCGATTTGTCTTGTGAGGATACCCGTTTTTTAGGGGCGTGGTGCAAATGGAATCCCATTGATATAGGGCGTGGCTCACTTGCCCTTGGCTCCAAATCAACCTGATCCGCTTGGGATTCCTTTTTTAGAGGCCGCGAAAGGTGATCACCATAGTACTGGATGGACGAACTCCGTTTCGCACCACCCAAGAAACCCTGCAATGATGATTGCCCCTCGAAATACCAAACCATGGTGTCCCATAGTTTAAAAAAAAGTGCCGAATTTCGTCCATCCCCTCACTTCCCGAGTTCCGTTTCGGACTTTAGTCACTTGTTGGGTTTGGAACATCTTAGTCGAAAACATTAAAAAGAAGAAACATGTTTTTTGGCCAGTCCACTCGAGAAGTGCCATTGGAGGTCTCGGGAAACATTGTCCACCCAACCCGCGCAACTCCAAGGCGTTCTCTCTCGAACAGGGAAATGAAGGCACACGCTTCAAAAGGGGCTCACTTTTATGAAGGCTCTGCGTTTCCGCAAAAACTGGGAGCCTCAAAAAATAATCAATCCCACTTCCCGAGTGGATGGGCCAAGAAAAGGTCTGAACTTGTTTGTGTTCCATAAAAATGGCCCAAACCCAAAAAGTGAGGGCATAACCCCGGGAGGAATGGCACGGCGCGAAACACCTGAACCAAACCTGTAGGTGTCTTCAAGGGACCTGCCTTTGCCTTGCTTTCTGTGGCCAGGAAATAGAGAGTCGCGAGTCCGGGAACATTTAACACTATCCGTCTCATGGGTCCAAACAAGAAGCTCGTTTTGAAGCCGGCCGGGCGACATAGGTAAGTACTCATAAAGTCGTGGCCCAAACTGATCCATGGTCACTTCTGTGTCACTTGATCGTCTTGTAAGCATCTCTTAAGAGGATTTCTCTTCCACGAGAATGCACCCCATGAAGAAAAACAAAACACGCCATTCCATATATGAAGCCCGAGAAATGTTGGACCCTTTTGGGTCGCTTCCGAAAGAAGAGTGTCACCCAAAAACCTCGGGATCTTCCTGTCAAGCAGCCAGTTTGCCCAGCTTGTCCTCCTCCTGCGGGTTGAAAACTGGGTAAAGGTTTCGCCTGGTTCTCAGTTGTTCAGTGACCCTAGGAAAAAAAGGAACCCTTTTTGGGAAGACCATGTCTAGTGGAGCAGCCACCAAAAAAAAAGGAGAAAGGGTGCCACTGAACAACTGAGGGTTCGATTAGGAACCGTTTCTCTGGTGAGTTCCATGGCAGCGTGGACCGGGTAAGTTCAGAAGCTTGAAAGCTTGGCTTTGATTCACACGACAGGGGAGTCCTGGAAGACCATTTCCTTCTAAAGGGACCCTATCGGGTTCCATGATAATTGGCATGGAATCCATCACCAATTTATTCAAGAAAGCAGCTACGTGAAGTTCTACAGGAAAGCCAAGCCGGAAATCGGGAATCCTTCAGGGCACGATCTGCGAGGATAGATGTATTATACGTACATATACGATCATATAAGTGAGGTGTTTACGCCCCAAACCAAGAAAGTGAGGGGGGGTGGGAAGGTTTGTCAATATGAGGCCACCCGAAGTGGAAACGCTTCAAAACTGGGCCGCCCTTAGGTGTTAGTGGGTTAAATGGAAGCTACCACTAAACCCAAAAAAACCTAAACAGCTAAGGAACCGGATGCGTGGAAGCCACCACGAAAAGCAAGAACGGAACCAACGAGAAAATGCGAGAAATTGGAAACTCGGATGGACCTGAAGTCAAGACCAAATTGGTTCTACAGGAACCTCACGTGTCCAAAACCCGTGGGAAGAAACCAATAGGTTCAAAGTTCGGTTGCTTTCAGATGAGTTGTTTCCGAAGAGTTTGTAGCACAATTTGTTTGAGAGCTAAACTTCCATGGGATACATCATAACTGCTTCTAGACTTCTAGACTTCTAGACTCCAGTGGGCGCTCTGGAAAGAAACTAGTGCAAGCCTATTGGCATGGCCGAGCTGGTGTTTGGCCAAAAGCCAAAAGCCAAAAGCCCTGAGCGAGCCACTGAAGGGCCCACAATATTGCTTGGTTGACGTTGGAAGGGGAGCAGACATTTAAATTTTAGCAGTTGAGTGGGGATTTCCCACTAAACCACAATACGCAAACATGTAAAATGTTTCCCAACAACCACCATGATTGCCTTTAGCATTCATCTGTGCGTGTGCACGCGTGTGAAAGGGGGACCCCCTCAACCAAATGACCAGAACCAGCTCCAAGCAATCCTTAGCCCGGGACTTTGTGCTAAACTAGGGTCTTGCATTTGAGCTTCGGCTTTGCTTTGGATTCCACATTTCAACCTTCCCCGAAACGGGCACGTGGGTCTTTGGCCAAGCTGGTATGTTGATAGAAACATCAGCAACAACCTGCTTGGTGGCTAATACCCTAGATGGCTAACCACTTACTACCTCGGCCGAAGATCCAAGTACCCTAAAAAACACCACCACCAAACAGCTTGCTTCCATTTGCTTCTTCGCCCCCTGGAAACATGAATAGTGAAATCCATTCCCTGTAAAACCAAAAAGGGAAAACAACAACTCACCTGCCCAAAGGACCCGGAAGCAGAAGGTGATCGAGGAAAGATGGGAACCCAAGATGGGGAAGCCAGAAGGTCATTCCGATCGGTCGGTTTGCCTTGGACAACTGAAGAACAGAGTCTGCAACTTGGTTGCTGTTGCCCCCCTGCAAAAAGCTTATCTTTTTGGGGGGGGTTCAGTGGACCACCCCTTAATTTCAACCAAAAAGTTAAAGTCTAAAGATCCAACCCAGTGGCAGCCAAGGCAAATTCTACATGTTACTGCAATTCCCTTAATGTTGACCCAGGATTCATAAACCCGTCCCATTATTAGGGGGGTGTTCCCTCCAAAAGTGAGGAATCCCCACTAAAAGGGGACACCCCCTATTCATCAACCACAGGTTTATTAATCCGGGGTTAACATTAACCTGAAAAATACTTTTCCCTGCGCTATCCGGCCTGCAGCAGCGCATCCCCCAAAAGCACCACATTCAGTGCTCACACGGGCACCGCATTGGGCACCCCTCATAAGAATTGGATCCCGAAGCTTAAAGGACTGTGATATGGTGAGCTCGTTATACCCCCGAATCCGCAAGCTCGCTATACAAACTAGGCTTCGAAAGTACTCTGTTCAGCTTAAATGGAAATAACAAGTGATAGATTCCCTGTAAAGCCAGGAGCAAGTACGAAATCATGATGTTCAATTCAGCCAATGGAAGTGTATAGGGGTATGTCTGGAATATATCCATTCTTGCAGGCAAGCCACTCTAGTAGGGGAAAAGCATGATGTAAGGTTCCTAGAGCTAACAAAACGCTGGTAACCACGGTACTTCTGCAACTCGGTTCAGCTTCAATGGCGCCAAACAAAGTATTAAAATGATCATATATCCATTTCAGCAGAAAGTCGCTTTGAAGCCAAGACTGGGCCGAAGATCCATTCTTCCATTCAAGTAGGGGAACCCTATGATGTGAAACCTAGAGGAAACAATTGCAGGTAACCACGGTACCCCAAAATCACCGAAGATCCAAGTACCCCAAAACCGAGAGTTCTCTGGACGGAGTCCTCCTCCTCCATCGCGATTTCCCTGGGCCAGGGCGCCGAAGGAGCCGTGGAGCCGCCGAAGCGCTTGATGATGTCCTGGTGGATGGCCCCTTTGGCTATGAATTAGGTCCTCCAATGGAGAGGTTAGAATAAGGGTACCATGTTTTCTGTAATCTGTTTTGACAATAAAGGCAAAAGGGCACTACTGGGGGACCTAGTTGGCTATGAAGGTTCATACTGGGGATGGTTGCGAAATCCACGCTTCTCACACCACGAACTGACACCATGCTTGAAACCATGTTTGTTTGCTGGTATTTGCGGGGGAAATCATCAGAAACCAGGGCTTACCGATGGGATGGACCCTCAAACTGCCATATGAAAGGCAGTTCACCCCATATGTTTGGGGCTACAACCCATTGTTAAGGAAATTGTCAGGGTTCAGGTGGACAGAATCCATTTGGCCCCACTTTGAAACCATGGTTGAAACCATAACTTTTGTTGGTATTTGCAGGGGAATCATCAGAAACCAGGGCTTCTTAGGTGGTGCGAAGTGGATTTCGCCCATCCACAGTAGGTTTAAATAGAACCACCTCAAAAGTGATTGGTAGCGACATGAACGTTACATGTTGTCCACCATGTTGGGTCCCCCATTAAAATCTGGGCCCATTTGACTCTTGTAGTCATGGCCCCCAAAGGGTGATCACCTTTTACTTTTCTGGGTCAACTGAGCCGAGCTCAGCCTCCCCCGATTCCCAGTTGGCATGTCCATGGTTCACTATTTTCTGGATAGGGGGGTCCCATCAATGTCAAAATCAACTACATGGAGTCTCCATGACCCTTTAAGAACAGGTCCATGACCATGGAGACTCTAGGTACCAAAAGAAAGAGTGCCCTTTGTCCGCAACAGCTGGAAGCTTTGCGGTTGCCCAGATAGGCTCTGCATTGTGGCAGCTTTCAGGGAGGGTTCGAAAGGAGGGTTCTGGGGCTGTTAGGGATATCGCTTGCTGTACTTGGATTTTGCGTGTGCAGGAGAAACTGCAGAGGTCCTCCAGTAGAGAGGTTAGAATAAGGGTACCTTTTTTTCTGTAGTCGATTTTAGTAGAGGAACCCTCCTCCCAAAAATGACGGTGAGAAAGGGCACCAATCGCTGGGGGACCTAGCTGTTGGGATCTGGGTACCCGAGCACTGCTGGTTTGGACAGCTCTGTCCGCTTTTTGCGTGTTTGGTTTGGAGCCGAATGGGTGGTTTGGTGCTGAATTCTAGGGGTTTCCCATTTGCCCTCCACAGCCAGGGGTTCCACATCTTCCAGGTGGGAAAAGGCCCCAGGAAAACATGAATTACTTCGCTTGAGCAATCCCCACCCTCCACACTCACGAGCTGACGACCGTGAACACAGTTGCTTGAATTCAAGCATGGTTTTAGAGTGGCTTAGGGCCTTATCCACCTGTCTGTGTGTCAAACTCCACTTGTCTGCGAGCTGATCTCGAGAACTCAAACATCGGTCCCGTTAACAAAAGCCAAAGCCCCTTCCAAAAGAAACCTGACGGGGGATTAAACGAAGTTGCGTATTCACAGCCCAAAGCAACACAAAAGCATCGCTTTCCGAGCCTCAGGGTACACTCAAAGCATGAAGGCAGCCCCACTGTGCGCCGGGCGGGACATTAAGCAAAACCAGACTGGCGAGCTGCTCTGGGGACACTGGCGCGATCCACTGGCGAATAATGGCGAGCCGCTCCGGCTCGATACAGGCCGGATACTCGGCAGGATCCACCGGCAGGGATACTCAGCGGGATACTCGGCGGGATCCACTGGCGAGCCGCTCTGGCGGGATACTCGGCGGGATCCGCCGCTCGGCGGGATACTCGGCGGGATCCACTGGCCGGCGAGCAGCTCTGGCGGGATACTGGGCGGGATCCACTGGCGAGCAGCTCTGGCGGGATACTCGGCAGGATCCACTGGCGAGCCGCTCTGGTGGGATACTCGGCGGGATCCACTGGCGAGCAGCTCTGGCGGGATACTGGACGGGATCCACTGGCGAGCAGCTCTGGCGGGATACTCGGCGGGATCCACTGACGAGCTGCTCTGGCGGGATACGTGGCGGGATCCACTGGAGAGCTGCTCTGGCGGGATACTGGGTGGGGGCGTGGTGTAGAAGGATCGCAAACGCGGATTCCAACATAAAATCTAACAACCCCTTCCTGTCGGGTGGGGAAACATAGGTCCAGTTGTGATGCATTCCTGTTAAAACCCAGAAGGGAAAATAAAGCAACCATATTCTATAAGCAAATGGAGGACATAGTGGAAAGCTGATTGCTGGGGATCTTGGGGCAGAAAAAAAACAGATGTTTGGGGGGGGGGGGGAGGGGGATGCAAATTGTTTGGCTTTAGTGATTCACACAGACACAACCCCTTTTCCGGAAGATTCGCAATGGGACACCCGAGAGAATGATACCGAGCCTGGCCAACGTTCAAACCTAAACCCAGGATTTGCAAGGTCTGTCTTTGCTTTTCATTTGGGTCGAGGACAAAGATGCGAGATGGTGCGCCCGCCGGACTCTTCCAACCCAAGCCCCCAACCCTTGCAACCCTTGCCTCGGTCACAGGGTGCGCATTCGCGTGCTCTTGCACTTGGATGCCGCCGGACAACCCCACCTCGTTGCGAATTGAGACGGATTTTTTTTGTTTTTTCGGAGGGCCCAAGTCCAAGTCCCGAATCTTTGACGTCAACGCGAACAGAGTAAGGAAACATGGAGGGTAAAAGACTCATGGGAAGTAGGGGGGGGGGTCTGGCTTACATTCTCCGAAAAAATGCGGCAAGATTGTCTTAGACAACAAAAAACATGGGCCCGTTCCGTGCCAAGACTTCATGAAAGGGGATCATGACTTCTCTCTCCGTTGCCATAGGATCTGGATCACACCTCGAAAGCTCAAGTCAGTTCGCCGGCACCCCTTTTGGGTGTTGTCCTTTCAGGGAAATCAATAGGAAAACCCTGAAAAACACGACACACCCACACGACACATTCACCAATCTCCACTTCAGGCTCCAAAGATCCGAGCACTTGGACAGTTGGCTGGTAAAGGGAGTCCCGGCCAAGTACAAATAGAATCTATGGTACCCTTCTAGGTCCTCCAGTGGAGAGGTTAGAATATGGGTACCCTTTTTTTCTGTAGGCTGTTTTAGTAGGGAAACCCTCCCCCAAAAAAGGGTAAAAGGGCACTACTGGGGGACCTAGCATTTTGTCCGTTGATAGCCAATGTAATATTCTATTCCCCTCGTGTCCCTTGTCCATTGAGGCTCGGAGCAACCGAGCAACCCTGGAGTATGTCGCTTGGGCACATTCTCGCTCGCAGGCTTGCGTCTAGCGGATGCAAGCTTGCGAGCGGATCTGTTCGAGAGGTCCAACAAGTGCCTTTCTTCTCACACCGTTGGCTATTGGACTTGTTGTTTGGCGATGGCGGGGGAAATACCTCCAAAACGAGAAATGCGAAATACTGGAGGTTTGAGTCTTCTTTGACTGCTGGAACACCCCCTTTCGCGCCCTCGCGATGTGTCGAGATATGCCTGGTTTGTTCCAAATGAGGATCCCGATGTTCCCAATTTGCACCCCATATAGGGGCGCAGGGATCCCAAACTTCACAACCCGGCATGGCGTGGCAAAAGCTGGTTCTGTGTTTCTTCCGCCTCCAAGCATAAAACTGAACAGAACCAAGGAAAACCTGATCCAAGAGCAGTGACCAGGTCCTCCCTGGGAGAGAGGTTAGAATAGGGGTACCAACTGGTTTTTTCTGTAGTCTATTTTCGTAGGGTCCCGAACCCTCCCGACCAAAAAAAAAGGGGGCGAGAGGTCGGGCACCAATCGCTGGGGGAGCCCAAAAAGATACCCTCGAAACGGAGCCTAGAGATTCCATTTGCGCAAGTCCACTGGGCCCAAAAAAACAGTAGTGACATCCAGCCCCTAGAAAAACCAAGAGGTGAACATACAAAAAGCAAACAGAAAACATCTTTCAGCCAAAGGACATCAAAGGACCCTCAAATGGAACCTCCAACCCATAACCGTGCTCTGCAGCAAGGTGAAAATACCAAACAACAAAAAGACCGTTTCTTTCAGCCAACGGAAGCCCCAAGAGGCCTTAAGATCATTCACTTGGGAGAGGCAACCAGCTCTGGGCTCGGCACGTCGCCCTCGTTGAACTCCAGCTGTTCGTCCTGGGATTTCCCACGCACCCGAAAGCCCCGAAGTCTAAGCACCCACATGGATGAATGTAGATCTCAGTTTGTATATCCTTCCATTTGGCTAAGGCCCCAGGAACAAATAAATCAATATGTCCGGTAGTGATAAATTCCTTTCAAAACCAACAAGGGAAAATAAAACATATTCTTAAGCGGATGATGCGGATGGAGGTATCTCAGTTGCCCTAAGGACACGGACACAAAAAGGCTAAGCGGCTAACCTTTTGGGGCCACGACTTAAAATGGACCAACATTGGAAACCAAAAGGTCAAAAGGTCGGCTTTGGGCAACGGAGATATCCAATTTTACCTTGGGCGAGTTGCAGTGGGAGCCCGAGAACAAAATGGACCCCTACAAACACGCTTGCTTTTGAAGCAGCCCAAAAAGGGCACCTCACGAAACGACTCGCCTAATTACATACCCCACATGGAAATACCCCACCGGTAGGCCTCATACAAGGATGCATTTTGGGGCACCCTGTATAACCCAATTTATTATCACCTGCTCTTTGCTGGCGTATGTCCATTGGGGGAATGCAAGTTGGCCCTTCGAGTGACACTATTCTTTACCAAGCTCACTTGCCCAAGGACCTGGAAAAAGGCGATCACGTGTTTGGGCCTATGACTAAACATGGAGCGAAAAGAGGAAACCAAAAGGTCAAAAGGTTGGCTTTGGGCAAGTGAGCAAACGAAACAAACAATATCAAAAACAAAAACAAAAACGATGGCGATATGAGGAGCCAAGATACCAAGCGCAGGCTGCTCAAAAAGGCGCTCCACTTCTTGCGGGGTACCGCCTGCACCGTGGTCGCGGTAATGCTGGCGCGGTTCAGTCGCGCATACCCCTCAGTGGCACAAGTCTTGGATTCAAATGGGTATGCGTCAAAACAAGGGGATCCTCAAAAATGGTGTTCGCTTCTTGGCTTTCCTGTTCAACAGCTTCAAAAAGGGTGCCCGCAAAAACACACATAAATTGGTCCAATTTCAACCCGTTGGACCAGGCTCTGGAAAATGTCAAGTTGCCCATCCTCTTTTAGGCATTCTTTGGCGAATGATCTGGTAGGCCTTTCCCACATCAGACAGGCCTCGTTTACTGCTTTCGGCGAGGTTAACTATCGGCGTTTCCCACAGCAGCTTGTCCTCATTTACTGCTTGTCTTCCTTCATGTACCCTAGGTCCTCCAATAGAGAGGTTACAATAAGGGCACGCACTTTTTCTTCTCCGTAGTCTACTTTAGTCGGGGGCTTCCTCCCAACCAAAAAAGGGGTGAGAAAGGGCACTACTGGGAGACCTAGTACCAACCCTCCCCCAATAAAGGGGTGACCAAATCAAGTGAAACGAGCAACACAATGCCCAGAGGCTGAAAAAGTGGCAAACTGGGAGAGCTAGGTTGAATATATAGCAACCTCGTAGCACCACCAAGAGGTATAGCAACGACAATCGGGAGATTCCAACCAGGAAATGTGTGGACATTACAAGAATTGGGTGTTCATGTGCCTTCGCCCAGATGAAAGAACTTCTCAGACCGCGCGGTTCAAGTTAAGTGCGAACGTCCCACCCCCCACGCTGGAGACAAAAAAATGATTTGTTGAGATTGAGCTGGATATTTTCCGCTTGCCCGATGCAAAAAATCATGCATCAGGCCCAGTGGACATCACGAGCCCCGAGCTTATGCAGCTTTCACTTGCACAATCACGGGGGGAAATGGAGATACAAAGGCCCTCAATCTAACGGATGCGGACCCCGAAAGGACGGCTGATCCCAAGCCACAATGTAAGAATCATCCATTGGAAGGCCAACTGGCTGTGTCTTGTTTTGGGGGGAGCCCCCAATACATGGCTTTCCTGTTGTATTTCTTTCAAAGCCACAAAAAATGCCCTCAAACCCAACTGATGTTGCGACCCAATCGTGCAAATTGGGCAAGGCATGCATTGCAACCACACCAGGGTAACCCTGCACGGCGTTCGGCAATGTCAGGTACGAGCGCACATGGAGTCGGTTCCACGTGACGACCAACTTGCTTGGTCTAATTTGGGGGGCCAGCTTCTTTGATGTTTTTTGACTCCGGAGGCTGTGCCGGACAAGGTAGCTTCCAAATTCAATACATCCGTGAAACGGAAGGAAACCCAAAGCATTTTAGAAGTCCCAAAACCCAACAAGTCGCACTCTTTCCGCCAAGCGTCCTGCATGTTTGAATAGGCATCGTGGTAGGACTGAGCCAGTTGAGCCACCAGCAGGTTGGCCATAAAGATGAAGACGATAAAGAGGAAGATGCAAACAGGGACCGTAATGATGACTGAGCTGGAAACCAGCCATTGGTAAGAGTCTTGCGGATACATCCTGCGCAATGCATCAAGTGCCGCTGATCACGGTTGGCAACATTTGAGTCACAATCAAAGGCATTAAAATGGTCTACCCAGAACCATGCAAAGAATTAAGAAGGCAGATCTCCGCGACTATTTCTGGCTGGGACTGCCCCTTACTATCCTTCATCTACCTGGGTTTTGAGCAAGTGGCTCATTTGTTCAACCACCAACCCCTAGTCCCATTTGTTGAAAAGGGCAACGATCTTCGAGGAAGTCGTTGAATAGTAGGGCGAAAGGGTGGTTTGGAGCCCGGTGGTTTCGAGGTTTGGGGAAGTTTCCCTATATTGATCGACAAGTACCAGGGGTTCAAATGACAGTGTTCGATGGAAAAAAGCCAGGGCTTGCAGCTTGGGGGTGGCAAATCTCTGAGACATACTGTGCAACTAACTCAAATAGGATTTTCTATATCGCCCCAAAAGGAAACAAGGTAGAGCCCAAAAGCAAATCCACAGAGTGCCCCTCCAACACATGCAGTGTTGAAAAGCATCATGTGAGCCTGAGAAGTTGCCTCAAGCTCGGAAGCAAACTTGACTCCAAGGGTCAGTTCTGTGGTCAAAAGCATACTTTTTCAAAGGGTTTCAATTCAACGCTTGTGTTTTGCAAATTCACACGGGTCCCCAAGAGGTGGTCCTCAAAAAGGAGTTTCCAGCGATAGCTTGTTGGATGCCCAGTGAATCATTCGCAATCGGGAAGTAGTCTTGTGAGAGATTGGTTTGCTTGCATGTCCACCGAGCGTGGTGCCAGATGTGCCCGAGCTACCTCATTTTTTTTGCCACACATCAGCAATGATACGTCTGCTTATGCTCACTTGCCCAAAGGACCCAGGAATAAAAGGTCAACCTTTTGGGGCCATGACTAAAAATAGTCCAAAATGGGAAAACCAAAAGGTCAAGAGGTCAATTCGCTTTGAACAACTGCGTATGGGATATGGGCAGCCTACATGGTAAGAGGACCGAGCAGTGTTCCGCATCTACAGCAAGGTGTTCAAGCCCCTAAGACTCCAACCCAAACCACCAAGGAAGGCTTGCTTGAGGTAGACGAAAAAAACAAATCCCCCTACTCCAGATACCCTCTCTTTTTTAAAAGAAAACCTGGTTTCGCAGGGTAAATACCCCTTTTGTAGAAGAGAGTCGACCTCATGCCCCAAAAAGATTGGGTCTTGGGTGTAAGGGGTAGTTGATTTCCTCTCCAGGAAACGGTTTGGATGCGCTCTTTGTGGAATTTCCACCTATTCTTCCCCCTGTAGATTCTTTTTTAGTACTCTTTTACTACTCTGTTGATATCCTATAGGGGCGGGGCGGATCCACACAATTCCACATCCAATCCGTTTCCTAGATCCTCCCATAAGCCCCTGCAGCCAGCCTTGGGATACTCCCATACGGCATACCTACAGCTTCCCTCGCAGCTTCCCTCGCCATTCTCCAAAAGCTTCGGCCCGCGCGTCTTTCTCTGGGCGACTTTTTGGGGGTCACACAGCTCTCATCTTTGCTTTCAGCTGACCCAAAGGGTGACCGCCTGTTGCTCACTTCCTGAGCCCAAGAAGTACAAACTTGCCTCTTGCCATGGCCCAGACCCAAAAAGTTTGAAGCCCAACTCAGGAAGTTCCAGGCTGGGCCCGTGCCAGCTTTGGACCAAAAGGAAAAAGCCACCAAGGGGCTCAGACTGATACTAGACCCTCCATTCGAGAGGATAGAAAAAGGCTGCCAACTTTTTTCAGTATTTTAAATGCAGTCTATTTTAGTAGCGGAGCCCTAGCTGGGGGACCTAGGTCCGATTTTCGCCCAAGGGGCCAATGAATTTGAGAGGGGCCTTTGGGGTCACCGGAGCCACGAGACGAGTGCGCCTGAGGCTCATCGAAGTTAACTCCTCCAACCACACCTCAGAGCCCCAGCCCCCCAAAAAACAAAAGGCGAACACATGGAAACCAGCTATTTGTTGTTGTTGTTTTAGTTTGTTGTTGTTTGTTTTGTTTTATTATTATTCTGTTTGTTGTTTCCCCCCTTTTTCTTCTTCTGCAGGACACTTAGAAACCCTTTGGTCACCGAACCCCACGCAAGCAGCAACCAAAAGAAGGACATCAAAAATCAGGAATCCCTGTGAGGCGGTGCAAACTAAGGAACCCTGAGAAAACTTAGCAAACCTTGAGGACCTCTAGGGCTTCTCAACTACCCACACTCACTTGCCGAGTGGATGGCCCAAAAAAAGTCCAAACTTTATATTTACCACTAAAATGGTCTTCCCAAAAAGTTTAAAGTTCATGAACTCAGGAAGTGAACCATCCCGCACCTGCCCAGCTTGGGGATTCCACAAAACATCTCAAAAGCTTGCTTCGCTTTCGGCGAGAAACCGCTGCGCCGGCTTTTTCCGGCATCTCGTAGTACAAAGCGCTGATGGCCGTGCTGAACCTCGGGAGTACTTGAGATCAACACGGTGCTGGCATAGGCGTACTGTTTGGTTGGTGAGGTCGAACATCGATGGCCCTGGCAGATTATCTAACCACCAGGTAAACCAGGGATATCTATTTTCCAGCTAACCAAGCTTGTTGGTTGGTTGATCAAAGAGAAGAGCGGATAGACCCACTTTGTCCTTTTTTTTGTGTTTGGGAGGGACCGATCTCACTTCCTGAGCGCACCGGCCAAAACAACTTAAGCTTGCCCCAGTGCTTCCAGGCAACAAGGTTCTAGGAGCAGTTCCACAATGGCTGCTCAGTGGCATCAGGTCAGCAAAGGTAGCTATTCACCAAACCTTTGTGAGAGACCGCCAAAGCAGCATACGAGGTGTCTTTTCCGACTGCTTCATTGGACATGGTAAGCTTTACCGCTCCTATGCTGCCAATTGCGTCTCCAGTGGCCAATTCGCACCGAACGCTCCTGGCCAAACGGGACAAAAGCCGGCAAAAAAGGGCCTGATCCCCAGGTACAAGCTAAACCTTTGGCAAACGTTGCCCCCAAAATACTTCTGCTCACAAAACGGTGGAACACCAGGTTCCACGTGGAGAGGGTCGCCTTCCGTCGAGCACGAAGACCCACGTACACTTGCCGCATTCTTTTCAACCCCAGCCAAGGAGCGCCAAGAGAAGGAAGATCAAAGCGATCCTGGGCTCACAGAGTTGCCTGGTCTCACTTCTGGATAGACTCACCTCCGATCCAGTGAATTGGCCAGAAAAAGTCGAAACTTTTCGCTTGCCACTGAGCTGAGTATGCCAAAAAGTGGCTGAAGTCCAAAAACTCGTTGGAAGTGACACAAAGGAAGTCCGTTTGCAAGAGACGAACCAGCTTGCTTTGGTCTTATGTTTTGAAGCAGCGGCTTGGAATCCAAACGCCAGCTACTTCACGCCAAAGTCTCTAAACCTGTGAGAAAGCAAAAAGGCTTGGCTCTGAGTTTTGAATGACCTGAGCTCTTGCGGGGGCGCGTGGCTGACAAAAAAGGCAAGCCACACGTTTAAGGGAAAAAGAGATATAGATCTTCAAGGCTCCCCTGCAATGATCATCATTGCCCTCCCACCAAATAACATGGAACCTGACGTTCGGGGGCCTGGTTTGGACCAGTTTCCTTTTAGAGGGACCGGATCCCAACGTCAGGTTCCAGCTGTTCATTGGTGGGAGGGGAAATGTATCCTCGTGTGAATCCTGGAAAGCTGCGGCCATCCCGAAAAGGAAAGCCGAGTCCAAATTGCCGGCTTCCAGGGCTAGACAGCTCGGTACCCTTTCTTTACCCATCCCAACACTAAGCAAAAATGAATCCATTCTTGGGTGTCGAGCTATTTGGGTGTGCCTTGTTTTAGGGGACCCCTAAAGTTGTGGGTGTTCCTCTTGGTTTCCATTTGTGGGCGCCAAAGAAACCGGAAAACAGTGTGCCCTCCAACAACTAAAGGAGGAAATCGTGCAGGTCTGGGTCAAACCCACTGCCCACTGGATGCATATCCGGAAAAAAAAAGGTCTGGTCTTAAGCTACTGGATCCGTCGTCCGGCTCCTCCGCTCACCAGTGGCCTACCCACTATCTGCATAATCAGGTGTCCTTTTGGTAAAATAGATGGCACTGGTAAATGACTAGAACCAACCTGCAACGAGTGCCATCCATTCTCAACCAAACTGACCTAAAAAGGCCAGCTATGTCTGCACATTTTCACCATATGTCCAAAACCTGAACCAGGAAATGTTCCCCACGGATCTCTTTTTCATGGCTTTCTCTCGTTCCCCCCGGCGCTCGCCATGCAAAAAAATAATCCGCCGGCGACTCGACCGGCGATGCCATCCCTAGGTCCGCCAGTAGAGAGGTTAGAATAAGGGTGCCAACTTGTTTTTTTCTGTAGCCTGTTTTAGTAGGGGAACCCTGGGGAACCCTCGCCCAAAAAAGAAATGGTAAAAGGGCACTGGGGGACCTAGTTCATTGCCTACAAGGAAATGGAATCACTGGGGGGAGCCCTCCCAACCAAAAGCTCACTGGCCCAAAAGACCTGGAAATAAAAGGTTAACCTTTTGGCACCTCTACTAAAAAAGGACCAAAATGGGAAAACCAAAAGGTCAGATCCGGTCGATTCGCTTTGGACAACTGAGTGGGGGAAGCCTCCCAACCGAAAGAGGAGTGAGAGGTCCGGCACCGAGTGCTGGGGGACGCAGTGCCATCTGATGGCATCCGTTTCAAGGCCAAGGCGCAGGAAGAGGCCGACCTCGCCGGCCACGCGGCCACAGACCAAGACGTAGCTGGAGATCTTCATGGAGAAGATGGCCAGGTCGGTCAGGAGCCCCCAGTAGAGCATCCTTGCGGTTTTTTCTTTAAACACAAACAACAAACAACAACAATCTCTATATATATATATATATATTTGAAAGGAGAAGTCGAGTTGTTGTGGTCTTCGTTTTTCCTTTCAAGTTGATTGACATGCTTGGAAATAAGGCGACAAGTTGATTGAACTGCTTGAAAGGGAAATAAGTTAGATAAGGTTCGTTGATTCTGTACCCAGTTTAGGGTGCTCGAAAGGAGACTTAGCTTGTTTGTGCGTACTTTTTGTGGTTGCACGCTAAGGGTTCTTGTCGTATTCTTGTCGTACCCTTTTTAGGGTTGCTTGGAAAGGGAAACTGATGCTGTGTGTTGACGGTGCCCGCGTTTTTTAGGGGAACCAAGCTGCGTTTGTATCTTGTATATTTTTAGGGGCTTGAATGGGAAAGGTGGTGGTATGGAGTAGTGCGATGTTACTCAGACAACGTGAGCCCTAGCTGCCTTTGACTTTGAGCTTGACCGAACAACCTCTTTCTGGTACCCCTCCAAGGGACCAGGGTACTCTTGTTATAGCAAATTTGGCAACCCTAAAGAACAGGCTTGCCATCCCGGAAAAATGCGGGGTCACCCCCCACAACCTATATCCTTGGAACCTAGTTCCTTAGTACCAAAGGCTTGGACAGGTTCTTGCCTGGGGATTAAACCTCTCAAAATATGGAAACATCTGCGCAAACGTACAATCTGCGCAGAGTACGATGAGTCAACTGGAAATCGCGGATTCCCAACAAACGCCCTTGACTGGTAAGCTCGTCGTTTTAGGCGAGCTCGGAAGAACTTCTCAAGTCTCGTGACGGGCAAACAATCAGACAGACAGACAGACAGACTGACTGACAGCCAGCCAGCCAGCCAGCCAGCACCAGACAAACGGACAAACAAACAAACAACCAAACAGACAACCAGACACAAACGCACACACAAAAGCTTAAAATGGAATGGTTGTATGGACCCCGCATCACTGGCCCATGCCATGGAAAAATTCGCACTATGCAAAAAATTCCCCTTGGGCTCGGACACCCCTTTTTTCTCAAGACATGCAGGCAAAAAATCACTGGATTTTTGCCACCTTGTCCCGCTTTTCGCGGTGGCCGTGGACAAACATCTGGCGCGCCCTATGTTCTAGGCTGGAAGAAGAGGACCCCAGCAAAAAACATAGTGTTTTTTTTTGCCCTGGTTAGTGGAAAACAAAGGGGGCCCCAAAAAAGCAAAAAAGGAAAAGGGGGAGCTGATTCTGGGGAAGTTTTGGCCAGTTGAGTTGAACATGACGCCCCTCCAAAGAAAAAGCAGAAAGGGTATTGGGTGTTTGATTCCCTATATAAAAAGGGGATTCCCTTGTATCACAGAAGTGGGGATAAACCCCTTTCGGCAGCCATGTGGCATGGCCAGGAAGGCGCACACGGAATAGAAGTCCTTACGCTCCTGTGCAGGAGAAAAACAAAACGGCAACCCCCGCCCCAGCATGCTGACTCTGGCAAACGACGCAGTTCTCGTAAAGCAAGAAAAGACAAAAACAAATAAAACTAAAAGCGAATTTTGTGGTTGTCTTTTTTGTCCCTTCCAAGATTCTAGATCCAAAACCAGAGCCCCAGCCCATAGTTCCAGGTGTTTCCACTGAAAGAAGGATGAAAAAAGGGGACCGAGCCCTATGGCTCCAGCTTCTCGTGACTCTTGTCCCCGCAAACCGCAAGATTCCCGCAATTTTGTTTGAAGAACCAACTCTCAAACGTCAAACGTCCAACCCAATCGCGGCCATTGGGCATGTGGGAAGCCAGTGGGATCAGGACAGCCAGGAATTGTTTTTCATGGTTTCCCTTGAAGCCAAGGTGAAAAGAGCAAAAGCACCCAGCCTCAAACGAAAACAACATGGGGCGTTTCTCAAAAGAGAGACCCCTCTCCAGGTTTTTTGGCTTCCCGGTGCTTTCCCTTTACGCCATGCAAAACACTTGGTTGCTGTTGACCCCTCTGCAAAGGTGAATAACTTGTTGTGGGTCCAAATCGGAAAGTCCAAAAACGGTACAACAATCCAAAGATCCGTTACCAAACAGGCATTCACAAAATCACACCGCCACTCAACCGCAATAAGCTTTAAACAAATAATAAACAAATGTAACAAGCTAAAGACCTAACAAGCTGGGAACCACCGAGAGCACAGTCGCAACATATTTCTTTTGAGACAAACCCAACTCGTCCTCTGCGGCTTTGCAGCTCTGGGTCACCCCGTAGTTTTCACTGAGGCACCAGAAGAACGGCTCCTGCGCTTCTTCTTTTCTTGCAGGGCGCTCAGGGAATGACGCAGGAGTCCGGGTGTTGGCGCAATGAACCGGTTTTTTTTTGGTTAGTTTGAAGCAAAACTTCGGGGGATTGTTCAAAAGGGACGTCATGTCCCCTTCATTCTCCGAGAGCCAACCAGTTTTGTGAGGCGTCCCCCGAGAACTCCGCCCGGGGCTGGGGGGGCTGGGGGGGGCGTGGGCGGGTAGAGGGTCCTCGGATCCGAAGGGGGAAAGACCCGCGGCGACCCCGTGCGAGGCCCTGCCAAAAGTGGACGAACTTTTTAGTGGTTTTTTACCGGAAAACCCAATTCACTAGTTGGCAAAAAGCTCTCAAGTCCGAACAGCCCTTGGCAAAATACGCCAAACTGTATTTTGGGCCCTTTTGGAGCCCCAGCAATCCTTGCAGGAACTGCCTGCAGTGATACAACTGCGGAAAAAAAAGGGGTCTAAGGATATAGACTAAAACCGCTTGCTTCACAAGGTGATCCCCTACATCAGCTGAGTACAAATGTTTTTTGGATGGACTTCTCATACCGAGAAACATGCCCTTGATGAACTTTGGCATCACGCAAAATTATGTTTTCCCACGGCTGTAGTTGCGGAAGCGATGGTTCCAATAGCCTCCTTTCAGGATTTGACTGTGCATTTGGATGTGCAACTGGTCTTTTGTTTTCAGGACCCCGTAAAGAAAACCCCTCCTGTCCATTTGCATGGAACCCAGCATAAGGGTCCCTAATAAGGAAACTAGTCTTCCAGGACCCCTTAGTCAGGTTCCATGTTAGTGGACAGGAGGGTACATTGTTCAATACCACTCTGGGTTTTTCGGGAGCGCGAAGTGGCAACGTGGGAAGCCTGGTAGTTGAAAAATGACCCGCGTTCCCACCAAACCCCTCCAGAGGGAAAATGTCGAAGGCTTTTGCGACTGCCCCAACCAAGTCATGGCCCACATCTGGCAAGCCACTATGGTAGATCATGCTTTGATCCATTTCCTTTTGGTTCTTATGTCGGGCAGTTCTACAGCTTGGTACCCAAAACGTGGGAATTGACTCACTGGCCTTATGTGTCACATTTAGCAGGGAACCCAACACAACTTCCCTCCGAAAACCATCCAAAACCGGTTGCCATCCGCAAAATCTGGGTGTCATAGGGCACCTCACAAATTGTCATAGGGCACCTCACAAATTGTGGTTTCCCCGTGGGTTTCCCTTGTAAAACAATCCAAAAGACAAGCCACCCAGCTGCAGAATGAAAGGTGATCCCTTTTGGGGCCACTAGACATGGTTGCCAAACCAGGAAAGCCGAAAACACATTGGTCTAATCCCGTTCCATTTGCCTTGCAAGTGAGACTTCCATATATCTTCAGGCTTCGCTCTCGCCCATTTTCTCTCGTCCTCTCATCTGCTGAGTATAGTAAGTTGTGCCAAACACACTAGACTGGGATCATGGTGGACCCCCTCTAGCCAAACTAACCCAAGAAGGACACCTACTCTGGATGGTTGAGAAATCCATTTTGCACCAGTTTGAAACCAGGGGAAACCAGAACATTTGCATCATTTGGCATTTGCAGGGGGATCATGAGAACCACGGGTTTCTGAACGGTGGTGTGACATGGATTTCGTCCATCCAATGTGCTTTTCTAAGGGTGGAAGTACATACTCCGTGTTCATACCCCTTGGCTTCCCCGTGTCCCATTTGTAGGGGGTTGTTTACTCCCACAAAAAGATATGTCCGGTAGTGAAATCATTCACTTTAAAATCAAGAGGGGACAATGACTAAATATTCATTTCAGCAAATAGAAGTTGATGTACCCTCCCACCGAGCCTCCCACCCTTTTCACATGGAACCTGAGGTTCGGGAGTTCCTGAGTTCCAAACCGAGAAAGGGGAGGCTAACCGATCAAAAGAACACCTCTGTTCAGGGCTCCACTTTTTGACTACTGCGCAGTAGACTTAAACCCAAGGGGTGGTTCCAAAAGGAGAACCCCTGTGTTTAAATCTACTTGGGGTGATTAAAAAGTGGCGCCCTGCCTAAGTTGCTTCCATTTGGTTCTTCAGCCAGGACAAACAAGAGAGACTATTTCCAGTAGTGATGAACTCCTTTTAAAACCAAGAAGAAACAGAACCAAAGAAAACATGATTCAAGAAGACATGATCCAAAACCAACCAGGGGAAAACACAAATTCTTAAGCCAATGGAGGGTTGGGTTTGGTCTCCTGCAGCGCCATGATCACCAAGATGCAGAGCAGCATCAAGCTAGCGGACTCTTGGAAGTTCAGCAGGTAAGTGGGGATGGGCAGCCCGCACACCCGGCCGATGTCCTCGGAGTTCCAAGATCAAAGATCCCATAGGCCAGACATATTGTCTGACAATAAGAAGGGAGACATCCGCATATGATGCGGTCGATCCATATGGATGTGGCTCAAAATAAAACGATCGGAGGGGCAAACCGCAGGTTTTGGTACCAATGTTTCCACTTGGCAGGGTTCCATTCTGGTACCGGTTTCTTGAGCCACAGCCAGGTCTCAATGATATTTGATTGGCGAGCTCAAGCGTGGTTTGTCATAAATCCCCACATGATGTCCACTGAAGCGTCCCTGCGAATTCACAGACGTGAGCAGCGCCCATCACGCATTGAGTTTTGGTTCTAGCAACATGGTCTCACTTGTCCAAAGGGCCTGTAAATAAGAGGTGATCACCTTTGGAACCTTGACCAAAAATAGAGAAAATCAGAAAACCACAAGGTCAAAAGGTTGGCTTTGGGAAGTGAGGTTTAGGGGCTTGGTAAATGGAAACAGTTGGCTGGACACCCAATGAGTTAGTTTAGAAGTTCAGAGTTGGAAGAGACAACTTGAAACGTCAGAAACTCCAAACTCATTAGATTTGCTTTGGGGAGAAATTCTATTCATTTGGTTCATATACCACCACTTGGCGGCGGACAAACACATGTTGAGGGCTCTATTGGACCCCGCTCGAGGCTCATCATTTTGTTTTGCCCTTTGGGGGGGCTCGGTCCGATGGGGCCATCCAACTTGCGGCACTTCGTCACTGGTGATTGACCCCAAGATGTCATGGAACCCAAAAAGCCGAGCCAGTAGAGGAAACTCCCTTAGGGGTTTTGAACCCCAATTTTGGGCTTCAGGTTCATTGCCAAGAAGTAATAGTGCCAATCGATTTGGGCGCGTTGCACCCCTGGCGTCCCTTCGAGGGTCTCCAGAGCCCAAGTGATCTCCACGCTAGGCGGTTGACCCCTCTCGAAATGTTTGTTGTCGGCGCTTTCAACCTTTTGTTTCTCGCATGCCCAAAGCGAATCTACCTTTCGACCACCTTTTAGTTTGCCCTTTTTGGTCCTTTTGGCCCCAAAGGCAAACCACGATTAAACTTCTGGGTCTAACTTGGTTGACCCATTGGGGGCTCTCTGCGTCTGGGATTCACGGTGGGAAACACCCATATGTCTTCGGAATGCTCAGGGCCATGGACCGATTGGCGGCTCTCTGGTTTGGATCCCTTGTATTCCCAGGGCTCCCAGGCTACAAACACATGGCTGTGGCTCCAAAAACCGGAACTCCAAAATGGCTTGCCCTGCCAAGTGGCAACATGGGTACCAAATCCTGCGCTTTGCCCCTCCGATCGTTTAATTTTGAGCCACACCCACATGACGAATTCTATGTCTTATATGTTCGCAAGGCCGAATAAAAAAATACCACACCTCAAGAGATCCCGATGCATATGTTGCCCGTATTTCATGGAACACCAAAACCGGCGCCAAGCCCAAGCGCAAGGAATTCCACAGTTGGGAGTATCGATGTGTGTGCGACCGCACCTCGCATCCCAAACACGCTATGTATGCAACATTTGCCGACAGTTTCCCTCTAAATGGGTCAGATGTTGGTATATATTACCTACATGGCTGTGGGTCAAACCAATGTTACCATTTTGGGGTAGGTGCACCACCCATTTTAGTCTATTTTAGTGGGGAATGGGGGGTTCACTGGGGGTACGGGATTTTCACCCATGGCCACATCCATTGTCCGGGAAAGATGATCTGATCCCAGCGTCTCCATTCCTGATGTCCGCAAAGAAGTGCTTAATCTGACCTGCGATGGATCAAAAAATCGTCGTCGTCACAGAACTTCCGCGGCTTTGAGCACGGGTCTGCGACTTATGGGTGGCTCGTCTTTTGAGTGACCCCAAGGTATGAGATGGGGGGTCTGCAACCTAGCTTCATGCTGGTTTTCCTTTTGGTTTCCCTTTGAAGCCAGAAGGCGCACCCTCAAACGAGACACAGCCTGGGAGCCTGGACCAAGAGCCCTACCCGCACGCCGCGAGCCAGCAACTTGGACAGGGCGAGCTGTTCTAAAAAGGATGGAAAGAATGGGGAAGGTAGCACTAGAAATATCGCGGGGGCTAACACGCTGAATCCGAGCTCCGACGAACACACGCTTCTATACGTCCCCGTCTTCCGTAAAATGTGTCAGGCGGCCAGGAGTTGAACCGGGAAGTTTATGGCTCTGTGTTGGTAAGAGTTTAGACTGAACTCCTCCCACAAGGTAGCCTATCAACAAACCTGGTGCTGTGCACAACCTGCAAGACTGCCCTTCCTGTTGAAAAAGGGACCTCTGCAGTTCCATACAAAGCCAAACAGCAACAAATCGCCCTCTGGCGGTTCCCTTGGTCTTCATCTTTTACCGAAAACACGGGGCCAGCCATGCACAAATCCCACAGTGTGTCCTGAAGTCATCTGGCTGGTGCCTGCAGTGTCCAAAGCGCAAAAAAGGGCCAGGCACGGTTTCAAGTTGCTTACAAAATCCATTTCGCAGCACCTACTACGCAACCATGGCTTTTCCACCACGTTTGTTGGCATTTACGTAGGGGAATCGACAGACACCGGGGGTTTCTGAATGGTGCGAAGTGGATGTTCTCCACGGTATCTCGGGCCTGAAGCCAGCTTTCACCCACAAGTTGTTCAGGACTCAGGTTGCAGAGCCTCCAGGAAACCACAAGTGGCTCAGTTGGCGTTGGATTCCCTACTGGGAACCCCGGATTCAGCAGAATCCGGTTGATTTTGATTCGGGGGGGTCCCCTTTTAGTGGGGATTCGGACCACTTTCGGAGGGAACACCACCCTAATAATGGGACGGGCTCTACTTAGACCCTGGGTCAACATTACTTGGAATCAAAATCCTGAAAGATCCAAGCGGCTGATGAAGAGCTTCGGCAGGGAGCCGAGGTAGTTGATGGAGCGGCAGGTCAGCATTACCTGGCGTGACGCTGGTCTCACTTGCCGAAAAAGACCTGAAGACAAGCTTGGGAAGTTAACCAAACTCTGACCCTGGTAGAAAAAGGGAACCCTTTTAGGGGGTCACTATTTTGGGTGGAGAAGCCACAAAAAAGGACAAATCATTGCCACTGAACAACATGATTTTTGAGCAAGTGCCAGCGATGGGGTTGCTTGAAAACCAGGGAACAACAAACAATGTCCGAGAAACCAGCTACAGGACATTTTTTGCAGGAAGTTCCTATGTTTGTTTTTGCATTTGGCCAGTGTCTAGCAAATTTATTCCTGTTGGCCCTATGAACATACCGTGGGGCTTGCGTGCTGGTTAACCATGCTGCGCTTTGGCTAGTACCAGTAGGTGTCAATGCGAGTTTTACATTCGAATTGAAAACCGAACCCGACGTGGCTTGCTGGAAACGAAGCCAAAGGGTGGAAGTAGAAAGTGAGGGTGCCCTTGTTCGGGTTGGTTCAAAGCCATGCGTCGCTTTCTGAGGCTCGCCGGAGGGAATCGACTCCAACAGGGAAAGTGGGCTTCTTGGGCCGAAAGAGGAAAGCAAAGAAGGCAACGGGGAATGCACAAGTCCAAACGGAGCTTACTCAGATCTGAGAATCTGGGCAACCTCCCACAAAAAACAAGAGTGAACTCAGGACTCCATTTAACGAACCATCATTTACATTGGCTAAATCCCCATAACATATTTCCAGTGAAATCAATTCTTCTTAAAACCAAAACAAAGGAAACAACACACATTTCAGCAAATGGAAGAGTAGGATTCCCTTCAATTCCCCCTTCAGGGTCCCCGAGGCTTCCGACAGCGCTCGCGACATCAGAACTGAGTTACGACGTCCTCCTCCAGGGTCTGTGGCCCGGTGTGCCGGAACAGGGCGCACTGCCCCGTGATGAAGACCGCCAAAATCACCAGGAAGTAAATCCTCAGGCGCTCGCGCCCCCGACTTTTGCGGGCGAAAGGTGTCATTCAAGGCATCGGACCGGGACCCGAAAAACAACAGGGCGGCAAAAAAAGAACAGCTCTGGACATAGTTCTCCTTTTAGGGTTGAAATAGATGGGTTTCCCTGGTAAATGATTAAACCACCAGGTAAACCAGGAATCGCCATCTATTGTTTCTACCAAAAGAACCTGAAAGGACACCTAAGGCTCTGGAGCTTCCCCGACCCGATCTCTGGAACACGGCTTCTGCGGCTGCGAGGTCTCCCGGAACCCGGGATGTGCGGGGCCGCGCGTGGCGCTCAATTCATCGGACTGGGACCCCAAAATGGGGCGAAACACGGTTTCTCCGGCTTTGGAGCTTCCCCGAACCCCATTTTGCAGGCGCCTGGTCTCTGGAATCGGACTGGGACCTCAAAAACAAAATGGCGGCAAACATGGTTTTCCAGGTGGAAGAACCAAAAAAGGGTACCCTGAAAAAAGACACACTCATTTCCATTTCTATTGCAGAGGTCGCTGGATTTTCCCCTGGGACGCCTACAAAATACTGGTGGGTTGCACTAAAACTGCCACACTTTCAGGTCCAAAAAAGCAACATTGGGCAAGCCCTGTATTTCCCCTTCCCCAAGCTTCAATGGAACCAATAAGAAGAGGTCAGGACCTTTGCCAGGTTTTGGTCCCCAAAACGGGCCTTAAGGACCCAATCCAATATCTGGGTTTGGATTGGTTTGCATATCACCCGGTCCAGTTTAAACGTTCACCAGGAGGTGGCATTTGAACCAACCTGAAAGGGGACATATGCAAGATTAAATTGCGGAAACGTAGTTGGAACCCTGGGAATCCGACCTGTGGCATACTGCAGATTGACATGGAACCCCAAAAACTCCGTTCGTCTCTCCTTTTGGGCAACCCCCTGCGATAAGTAGGGAATGAGGGAATGAGCCTAGGGATTACCGAATAAAGGTGCGGTTTTGGGCGAACACGAAGTAGCCCAGGGAATCAAAGAGGTACACGTGGTTCACGAAGTACCAAAAGAACCCAGTCCCAATGCACAATGTAGAAGGTGCCGGTGACCAGATTGTGGGAGTGACAGTTAATGAAGATCAAGTTTGGGGAGGTTGGGAAATAGGTTGAAGAAGGGAAGTTTGTGTCCAAGCCCAGGACGATCACGCAGAGATCCTCCGCCCACCTCCCAGTGCCTAACCACGGCGACGTCAGGAGCCTTTTCCCGACGGCAGCAGCCAGCCGCACTGTGTCAAATCCGTGTAATCTCTGATGAGGTAAAATTGAGCCATTCGGCCGTTTTGCCACATGATGAAACAACACGTGAACAAAACACACCCCCCTCATCCGATATCTGGACGAGAGAAAGGATGCGAGACAGTTGAGTTCACGACGAAAGGGACCAACCAAAAATGCCGGTGTCAACTCAGAGGTGAGCCAAACGGCATCACCTGGGCCCCAGTTAAAATCCCGCCACCACCCCGAATTATCGGGGCGACAGGATTATTTGACGAGTGGACCACATGAGTGAACAAAGACATATTGGAGGAACCAGACGAAGATTCCTCTCGTGCCGTTCATGCGTTGTCATAGGACGACACCATGCGGAGGGGGACCCTATCTGGATCACCGCGCCTCACTGCACGCCGTGGAGTGGTTGGAAGAGTAGTCGAGTTGGGAGGAAATTAGAAACGGAAGTTCCAAAATATCCGGCTACGGCCGGCCCGGCACTTCTAGTGCGGTCACAGCCTCACACAGGATCGCCAGGGGAACCGTCTCCGGCGCGCACGGCAGCGGTGCGGGAGGGACACGAGCAACGCCGGATCAGCGGTACAGGGCAATGGAGACCATCACCCCCAGCAGCGCCGCATGGGCGAGAGGAGGACCGGCGCGGTCGCGTTTTTCGGCGACACACGCACTATCCTCGCCCTTCTAAGGCGGATGCTGATTGCGGTACCCGCCTACCACCCTGAACCAGGTTCTTCCCGGTCCCTGGGCACGTCGTCTCTCCGGCGTCCACCACGGTCACCTCGATCACCTCCTCCATCCCGACGGCGATCCTCACCACCACCCCTATTGTGGTCACCAGCCGGAGGTCGGCGAGGCGGAGGGGGATCTGATTGGTGACGTCGGTCATCCCTGCGCCGGTCCCGGTGGCGATCGCGACGGTCATCATCCGGGTCATCACGTCCGCGGCGCTCATCTCGCCCCGGACCGCGCCTCTCGGAGGTCTCCTCATGACGTGGAGGAGGTCGGCGATCATCGCGTCGGCCTCCGCGGGTATCCCTGCCACGATCATCCCTTTGTCGGGGCGGGCCAGGATCCTCGCGTCCACCTTTGCCAGGTCGATGTTTTCCTCGACCCTTCCCCTCACCCTTTGGACCGCGACGATCCTCGCGGGCCCCAAGCGCGGTCCTCGACCGATCGTCATCTCGGCGAGGCCGCGACTCATTTGCCGCACGAGTGGTCCGAGGCACACCCGGGGGAAGCTCCCACTCGTCGTTGTCGTCATCGCGCGGGTCATAGCCGCCATGGCCGCCCAAGGAACCGGTGGCATCCCGTGGTGGGGACGCAGGAGTTCCGGGACCGCCCGATCGAAGACGAACTCGGGGAGTCGCCTCGCCGGTAAAAGGATCCTTCTGGGTGTAGAAACCCTTGGTCCTGCCCCTTCTCTCCCCACCTTCCACACCGCTTCTCGCGGGGACCGGGGATGGACGGGCAGGCTGGGCCATGCTCTTAGAGCTGGGTCGCCCGCTAGACCTGAACGCCCCCCTGCCCTTTTTCGGGCGCGGGGACCCGACCACGAGATGTCCTCCTGGCCTTGGGTTGGTCGGACTCACCCTCCAGCTCGGACTCGGTGTCAGGGACACGAGTATTGATGGCCATGTCCTCTTCCTCAAACGGATCCCCAGTCGTTGTAACGCCTGCCGCAATGGGAGCGGGAGGAGGAGGAGGAGGAGTTGGCACAGCATCGCCAGAACTGACGCCTGCATGCGACACCACGGAAGGCTCCGGTTCTACCGGGACAGGCGGCGCAGGAGGAGCCGGGGGCGGTGGCGGAGGGGGAGGGATCTCCTCCTCGTCGTCGCCCATGGGCTCGTCAAGGTCGTCAGGCTTCTCGTCATCTTCGTGCGAAGAACCATCCGATCCCAGCTCATCCCCCGCTGATCCAGCAAAGTCGGGCTCGTCTTCGTCCTTCACGCCGGGGCCTGGTGTAAGGCGAATTCCGGGTCGATGGCGATCGCGGGGTCGGAAGCGGTATTTCCTTGGCACAGGGTCGGACAGCTCCTGTTTGATGTCATCCTGGGTTTGAGGACGGTCGGCCAAGCAGGTGTCGTAGGCAACGGTGGACGTCCGGTGATCAGATCGTCCATACTGCTGAGGTCGTTGAGGGTGTAGACGTACCCCTTCTTAACGCCTTCCCGTATCGTGTCCATAGCCCGTTTGAGGCGCGCGGCAGGATCGAACCCGGCCTTTCTCCGCATGGCCTGCAATATCCCGCAGTGCTGTGCGAGCAGCCCCACCTGGAACTTGAACCCCTCCCCGGACACATCGTTGGGGAGTATCGGAGAAAGGTGTCCTGTTCTCAGCCCAATGATATGGGCCTCAAGAATGTAGTAGGACGTGTAAAAGCCGCACCGGTTGGCGTTGAAGTTTGCGGTGGTTAGGCGTCTGCCCCACTCAGCCGCATATCCCTCATATTCTTCGAAGAATTCGGGGACGGAGCTCCCGTTGAAGGCCAGACCCCTTACCAAGATCGCCTTTGCTACCCACTCTTCCACGTTGTTGTCGACCGTGTCACGGTATTTGCCGTCAAGGACTTCGTCTCGGAGCGAGTCGTGAAGTTTTCGGAAAATGCCATCCACGTCCTCTTTGTCAAGGTACTTAGGAGGCCGCATCCCAGACATCAACAAGGACCGGGCATCGACGGCGGGACTCTGCGAGTAGAGGGCCATTCCGATGGCGTTGGCGTCTGAGTTGTTCCACAGAGCGGGGACGAAGCCCTCGTATTTTGCCAGCCAGGGAGGAATCACCCCGTCAGTGCTCGCTATCGTGCGAGGGCCGCCGTTCGTGTCTCCGGTGGGCAGGACGCCCTCATAGAAGATGGGAAGGTAGCAGGCGGTGCACAGGTGAGCGCCGACCGGGTGGGCCGTCATGCACCTATGGCATGGAACGGACACCACCTCGCGGACATGTTCCGTCTTGGTGATCTGATGATACTTCTCCATCTCGTCCCGACACTTCCTCGGGTTATCACTCACGGAGTTGAGGAAGTTGGGCGGATAGCACCAAGGCCTCAGGTAAATGATGGAGCAGTCCTCCTTGAAGTAGACGCATCTCCAGTACCCGATCGCGATGTTTTCGCGCGATGCAAAGGTACCCTGACGAGTAATATGCATGCCCCCATTTTCCATGGAGAAGAAACGTGCATCGATAGCCATGACCACATATCGGGGATCCCTCCTTTGGCGTCGACCCGAGGTGTGCAGCTCCGTCACATTGCTGTCGGTGATGCGGTCGACAGTGTCGTTGGGGCATTCTCCGTGATCGCGGAGGGACTGATATTCATCCGGCCTAGAGGGAAGGAGCTCGATCAGAGCTCGCCCACCCCGAATGATCGCCCCACGTTCTACGTAGAGCCGATACATCCGGAGAGGCACCACCTTGTAGAGTGTCTTGGGAACCACCTTGGATGTGATAGGAAGACAAACAGGGCTCTCGTAGAGCATGTATTGGTATCGTTCACGAAATGCTCGGTAATCAGTGTCGGATCCGATCTCAAGCGACCTTACCGCCGCTATGCGGGCGGAACCAGGCAGCAACCGACGCTCCTTGTCACGAATGACGGTGATGATGATTTCGAACATTCCCACCCCGTCTTCGAGGAAGGAAGACAGGAGGTACGATGAAAAGGCATCCTCAGACTCGACGCTGGTCCCGAAGTAGTGGCTCAGGAACTTCTTCAGTTGTATCACCGAAGTA